AAATATGTCCTAAGGTCTGAACCTGGTGGTAGGATTTCTAACAAAATAAATAAAACAAAATCCTGTATATAATAATGTAAAATTCAAAATGCCAAAAATCTGATAAGAAATTACCAAGTATGCAAATAAACAAGAAATGCCCCCCCCCTTTTTTACAGGGTCTTATGTAGTTCAGGCTGGCTTTGAACTCACTGGGTAGCCCATGCTGGCCTCCACCTAGTGACAATCCTCTTCATCCTCCCCAGCTCCCAGAGGTGGGAATATAGCTGTGTGCCACCACATCCAGCTTGAGACAATAGCTAGAAAAGTTTAAGGAAAAAAAAAGACAAATGGCTCCAGAAGCTGGTGGTGTGCTGCCAGGTCCTGCACTGTCCAATGGCTGCTGCCTTCCCTGTCACCCAGGAGCATTCCCAGGAAAAGGAGCCCAAGGGTAGCCTGGTACTGACTGGATTCCATGAAACCCCCAACGTGGATGCCTCCTCTGCAGCCTCTCCAGCCCTGGTGACAGCAGAGCACTGCGGAGACTGTGGGCCAGGGCAGGACTCCCACGGAGACAGTCATCACCCTTGTGCATGGTGACCCCTCTGCTGTGGCAGAAGCCCCTCTCTGCACGTGACCCTGGTGATGAAGCCTTCCAGAGCAAACATAAGGATAGTCAGTAGTTTCCTCCTGAAAAGCAGGGTGATGGGTAAGATGGAGTGTGAACTTGATCAGCTTGGGAGTGTCTCAGGGGATTAGTAAAACTCACTCTGGGTGGGCCATGCAGTGTGAACTTGGGTCTATATCTGGTCCCTCCTCCACTCACTGTGGCACTGATCCCTGCTCTGCTTCGCACTGCCATGAACTGAGTTGCTTTCTTATGCCACATAGTTCTGACATGATGCTCCTGCCTTGAAGCAGCCAACCAGGAACTGAATCCCATGAAACCATGAGTCAAGCAAGCCTCTCCTTTAACTCATGGGTGTCAAATATTGTATCCCAGCAATGGGAAAGCTGACTCACAAATGCGTGCATGGACACATTTATATTTCCCTTCTTTACATAAAGTGGTGCTGCTATTAGCATTCTCATTTTCTCCTCTGGTCCCGCTCCTGAAAGAATTATTTTCCATTCTATTCTACATTACAGTCTTTCTACAGCCTTAACCTGACTTGATTGAATTTTGCTGGGAGATGGACTTTGTACAGTTCCTGAGGGCTGCTGTCATCTGAGACCCATTTCAGGGACACCTGGGCACTGGCTACTTTTCTGGGAGTGAAGAGGTGGCCTCATCCACTGGCTTAAATTTTCTCTTAGGAAAAAATTGCAGCTCAATGCCAGCTTTCGTTTAATTTTCAGCAAGCAAGAATTAATTACATTTTGTCAATGGGAAGAAGACAACTAAAAACACAAGGTTATGTGTGCATTGAGGCCTCTTGTTTCCAAAAACTACAAATATCCCTGAGCAATGGGAAAATAATGATAAAGTGAGATATTCTGTGGCACACTTTAGGGATAAGCCTAGGACTGATCTGCAGTTATCCTGGGATAAATGTAGGCACATCGCTGCTGGTGAGTATTCTCAAGGCAAGTGGGAAATGGGCTAAGGAACCAGAAAAGCCAATATTTGTCATCATTCTGTTAAGTGAATTCTCCCTGAGGCAGGAGGCCCAGTGCAAGTTTGAGGCCAGCCTGGGCCACATAGCCAGCCCATGTCTCAAATGTAAAACCAGATGCTCTTTTGTGCCCAAACAAGAGTCAATCAAAACTCTACCACCACAGTAGTCCCGACATGAAGGGAGCACAGAAGCTTGTCACAGAAGTGTGGAGAAACAGGTGCAGCTGAGCCCAGGGCATAGAATCCTACTCCGCACTGCAGTGAAGCAGAAGCTGGACAGGTGAACAAACCACGAGTCTCACTAACCTCACACGAGAGAAGAAGGACAGCGCTCTGACCACAGCCACACTCACCATGACTCTGTGGCCATTCACCCCAGACTCAGGGCTGAGAGGGACCCGATGTGTCATGTAACAGTCCACAGCCCAACACGAGTCTCCCTGGATACACTCAGGTGTGTATGGGGGGATAGGTGTGCAGGGGCAGGGGATAGCCCTTTACCAGCTCCCAGCCTCTGCCATCCTGGGCTGGTGGCTTCCTCCCATCCTCAAAGACAGCCCTGTTGCATCTGTGCCCCAGCTTCAGTCTTCATCTCTTTCTCTGCCCTGCTTCTACCCCCTCTTCTGTGTTTTGAGGACCATGGTGATTCCATTGGGCCCAGTCAGATCATCTGGAATCTTCTCCCCATTTCGCAGTATAAAGATCAGCCACCAAATTCCAAACAGAAGGTTCTCCTGGAAAACAGCCCATTCCCAGATCCCAGGAGTGAGTTCATGTGCGTCTTGTGGGGGCATTGTTCTGTCTACTACCTTGGGATTCCATTGTCATTACCTCGGGGGAGTAGGACACCTATGCAGACACATGCGGCATAGTCCCAGCACTCAGGAAGCTGAGGCAGCAGGATCGCAATGTCCACAGTCAGCTAGTTCAAGTCAGCCCTGGACTATGTAGTGAGAACCTATTGTAAAAAGCACTTCAATCAATGAATAAATAAATAACAAAGAACCAAGGCAACACTAATCTGTGGTTTATAAAAAGTACAGGAATGAGGAAGATGATAGATGTAAAAGCAAGCTCATTGCCTTAGGACAGATATGGATCAGAAAGAATCACGAGGAGCTCTCTGGGGTATCGGAAATGTTTCATATCTTAATATGCATGTGGGTCAAATATGTGTACAGTCTTTGTCTTACCAAACAGGATTCATGAGATTGGTGCAGTTCACTGTGCATAAATTTTACCAGCAAAAAGAAAG